GGGGATGGGGAAGGGTGGGAGGCGGGGGTGCAGACGCTCCCACAACTCCCGGGCGGGGCCGAGAGCCCTAAGCTAGGAGGAAAGTTGCCAGGCTTTCCCGGGAAAGGAAAAAAATGGGGTGCTCAGCAAAAAGAGGTGGTCCGGAAAGGCCAGGTTCCGCCCCAACAGGTGGTGGCTGCAGTGGCGAACCACAGCTTTCAGCCCCGGGCAGAGAAACCCGCGGTGGGAGACGCTGGTCTGTGGCTGGAGCCGAGCAGCGTCTGCATTCAGCGAAACCGCAGCCGGACTTGGACGGATGAGCCAAGGCAAACCGGGAGCTCGTTTCTCCCGCAGAGTTGGCAAAGCTATAGATGTGATTTTTTTTTTTAATTTTGTAACCAACCGAAAGAAATGTTTGGCTCTCCGGTGGAATTTTGAGGAAGAAACGTGCACATTGTTTCTCTCTCGTCCAATTCAACTACAAGCGCATTTGGGTAGGGCTGGCCCAGGGCAAGTGCCCGCCAGAGAGGCAGGGTTGGAACTTCTGAGAAGTGTGTTGGTGTCTGATCTTGAGGGGATCGTTTAGAAACCACCGTACGTAACCATAGCTCTGTGGTTGCAGAGTGAAATTTAACTAATTAATTAATTAAAATACTACTTTTGCCAGACACTGGTAATCCTAACAACTCAGGAGTCCTTGGATCTAAGGATCAAGGTTGGAAACCAGCCTAGCCAGGCACGCCAGTGACATTCTTATCCCCAATTAACCACCAAAAGCACCAGCCTTGAGTGGAAAATCTAACGCACAGCGCCCAGGTTCTGAGTTCAAGCCCCTATACTGGCACACACATAATAAATAAATACTGTTTTTAAAGGACTGTGTTCAGATGAAAATCCACCACTGTCCTAAAATGCAAGTTCAAACTTGCGTCATCCAGTCATTCCTGGTCTCAATGGCTCTTTCCCCCCCCCCCCCTGCATCTTCTACCCTCCTTTTCTTTCCAGGCGTCCCCTTCCAGACTATTCCTGCCTACCAGATTCTATTTGATGCATACCACTTGTCTTCTATCTTTCTGTGTAACTTGTTTATTTTTCCTTTGCTTATTTTTTTCTGCTAGAATGCAAACTCTCCCCAAGGGAGTTATCTTTCATACAGAGTAGTGTGCATGAGTATTTGTTGAATGAATTTGCTATATTATAAATATTTTCTCCTTTGTTTGTTCCTTCTTTTCCTTCCTTATCCTTCCTTCCTTCCTTCCCTTCTCCCTCCACCCCCCCCTTCTCTCTTTTAGTTTCTCCAGCTTCAAATTGTAAATGGAAAGTCCTGTGGTGAGACTACCTTGCTAGCCTGATCTCTCAATGTGTGTAAAAATAGGAATTTTCTGTAAGAAAAAAAAAACAATGATAGTTTTCAACTAAAATGACTCTGATTTCCAAGTCGTGTTCTGTTAGCAAAACATGTTTCTATTTTAATCTTAGGAAACATCCAGGGCAATTCGGGCTTGGGACATTATTTTAGGCAAACAGTTTGGTGTCATCCATTTCAGATCCTTCTAAATGAAGTCCAAAAATGGAGGAGTCAAAATATTTTTCCTCCAGAAAAATCAAATTTTTGCAAGTGTAATGTAGGCTTGGTTCCAGGTCCTACCGGCCATTCCTTTGTTGTTCTATTTGTTGGTTGCACTATTGGATTTACAAATACACTCCATAGGAGCAGTGGGTGGTGGGTGAGGGCTAAATTACAGGCTAAGAAGGTGAGGATAAAAGGAAAGGGGCAAGACCAATATGTGAGAGCAGGTTGAATATCTGAAGTACAAATGCAATGTCCCATTGTCACGCTTCCTCCCAGACATATTTTCTTTGGCCTAGAAACCCCTCCATTCATCCTCAGTCATTTGAACAATCTAGATTTACACTTGGGGTCCAAGTATAGCTCTACCCTTAACCAGAAAACCATTCTGTATTTTTCCTTGGCTGATTCCATTATATGAACGTCTATAGTGCATACCCCAAGAGGAGGTCCTGGAACATTACTCTAATTGCCTCTTTACCATGCTGGGTCCCTCTACACATTAGTCTAGCCAATAAGAAAACAGAGGCAGGACTGATCTTGTTACTATATCTCATGTGCCAGGTCCACTGACTGATACAGGCTTAAATGTAATGAATCGATTGGACTGAATTCTGCACCGTGAACTTTAGCTTCTCCCTTGAGTAGCTAATTAAATCAGGATTGGTTTTCTTGTTTTTTGTTTTATTTTAATCTGAGACTAGGACCCAAACACTGTTTCTGACACTTTTGTTCATTGGCTGGCTTTCTACCACCTGAACCATACCCCAAGTCAGTCTTTATTGAACCATGGTGTGAGACTTAAGACTTCCAATATCTGTCTTTTGTACTACATTTGTGACTACTAGCCATCATTAAAAAAAAAAAGCAGTGACATTCCCATAAGTTGGATAAGGGTCAGAATCCAACCAAGGCCACACGTGCTAGTCAAGTGCTTCAGCATTCCTATCTGTCTTAAACAAGCAAGAATGACATCAGATGTCTTGCTTGTAGCAGTATCTGTATTGAGCAGATATCTGAATTTAACAGATACAGTGTGATAAGCTTGGGGTTAGGTTTCCTACCACAAGGTACCTTTCAAGTTATAATCCTAATTTTCCCATGCATAAATATTT